AGAATGTCGGGGACCAGGACTACGACACTAAGACTTGGGACATTTCAGGCCAGTTCCTGTTTTTCAGTAGTCTAGAAGACGAGTGCAAACGACCACTGGAGGATGGACTCCCTGCATCAGAGTACGAGGGGAGGGCGAGAGCCCTCATACTCTGGTGTATTGGGTCCTTCTTCTTCCCCTCACATCGGGCCAACGGAGTCAACCTCTACTGGCTGTCCCTATTGAATGTCATTGATGCCATTCCGGGGTACAGCTGGGGTGGAGCGTTTCTGGCCGGGGTATATAGAGCGCTCTGCGAAGCTTACGAGAGGGAAGAAAAATATATCAAGAGCTGCGTGCAGTTGATTCAGGTAAATTTATTTACGTGTTAATTGTATATTAATTTTATTTATTATAAATTACAATAATATGTGCTAAAAAATGTATATGTCCATATGTGCAGGTTTGGGCATGGGAACGCATCCCTCGTGTTCGCCCAATCATGTAAAAAACGCATTTCGGCTCTCAGCCTGGTTGTCCTTTGGGTGCAAGGTAATAATACCCCATTTATTTATATTCAACTCTTAAGTTATTTCAATCATCGAATTTTTTCATTACAAATAGTTTTTTTCTGTGATTTTTAAGGTGGGTGGGATCGAGGGACATGAGGCACCTGGGGACGGGCACGGCTACCATCCGAGATCAGCTGAGTGGCCTGAGAGAGACTGATGTAAGTTTCTTAGGTCATAATAATAAATAATTGTTATTTTTTTAATTCTATTTTTTTATTACATTCATTAATAATTATATAAATGTTTTTTTTTTACAATTCGATTGGGTACCCTATCAGACGTACATAGACGAGGGTCGGCTCCCGGACCAGTGTACACGAGACCGACATCTCTGGATGTACAAGGGGTGGATCTTCTGCTGGAACATCGCAGAACCCCACCAGCCTGATAGGGTGCTCCGCCAGTTTCGGTGCCACCAGCCCATCCCCCAAACACCGATCATACTAGTCTGGCCGACTGGGACACCTGCCACATAGGCCAGGGCATGACTGGGAGGCAATATACCGATTGTCAGGCCTTCCATGCTGATCTTGGGAGGATCTAGACCGAAGAGATAGATCAGAACGTCTTCCTAGATGTCCCGGTGGATCCCTTCCTGCAGCTGGCAGAGGGGTACATTGATTGGTATCACAGTAGGACTGTGAGACTATTCAATGACCCTAACAACTACGCGGCGATCTCACAGGACGGCGGGTTTCAGCCATATGCCGACCGGGAGAAGTGTCAGGTAATTGTCTGCTAATTTGTGATTATTATTATTATTATTATTATTATTATTATTATTATTATTATTATTATTATTGAAGTTATTATTATTATTATTATTTTTAATATTTAATAGATATTTGAATAATTTTCAGAATTCGGGTACGGAGGGGGCGTATAACATGCTATCCAACATTGAAGACATTGATACGCTACCTCCCCACGCGCAGACACAGTTCCAGCAAGCCCAGGAACTTCTGTACGCTTCTCTGACTGTTGGGGGTCATTCAGTCACACAAGGGGCGTCGTCGGAGCAAATTTTATCTCAAGAGGAGTACGCCCCACCCCAGCAGACACAGTCCCAGCAGGCGAGGCATAGACCGACGTCCCACATTGGTGGAGGGAGAAGACGCCGTGACCGCGAACCCGCCGCTGCATTCCCCGGGAATGAAGAAGACGAAGAAGGTGAGATTTTTTTATTTAACTACAAATATATATTTTTTTTGTTTGTTTTTATTTATTTGTCCGGTCGAATTACTGATTTTTTATAAAAAATAATTAATTAGGTGGACAAGAAGAAGAACCAGCCACGCCTGGACCGACTGCAGGACCGACTGCAGGATCGTCTTCTTTGGTACCGGAGCCTCGGAGAGGGTCCCGAAATCGTAGGGCTAAGGTTGCATTTACTCCTAGTTAGTTAGTTTGTTTTGTATTTTGTGATTTTGTGGATATTTTTTTTTTCTTTTATTTTTTGTACTCGATTTTCAGATATTTATTTTTGATGGTTTTGTATACATTTTTTGTGGTTCATTTTTTTTATCGGTAATTGTGGTTGACTTTTTTTATATAGTGTTTCGTGTATGTATGTATGAATGGTAAATTTATAATTTGACGAATGAATTGATATTTAAGTGATATTATTTCATGTTCAAAATGTTAAATCAAAATTTATAAAAAACCTTTATATTGAAGGATAAGAATAAAAATTCAGCTAAAATAAACGCGATTGCTGGTAAACAAGTTCGTGAACATCAAAGAGTCGAGCTTAACAAAAAAAAAACAAAAAAAAACAAAAAAAAACAAAAAAAAATACAAGAAACACGGATTCTTAAAATCCGTGTCTATAAAAAAAATATTCAAACACAAATTCTCAAAATCCGTGTTACCTAATAAAATAAATAAATAAATAAATTATTCAAACACGGATTCTCAAAATCCGTGTTACCTAACACGTTATTTCAAAATCCGTTTTTCCCTGACTTAATTAAGGGTAATTATGTCATTAAGGAAACACGGATTTTCACAATCCGTGTTTAAGTCAAAATTAGTCAAACACGGATTCTCAGAATTCGTGTTTCAGTCAACACTAGTCAAACGCGGATTTTCAGAATCCGCGCGTTTTAGATTTGTCCACACCCTTTTTTTTTATTTATTTTTGTCCACAAAATTTTTTATTTGATTTAAATAAATGATTCGGTTGCATGCCTATCTTTATCAATGACTGAAAAAGCTGTGTAGGGTGAGACTTTTTTTAGTAGAATTTTGTGCTGAAGATCTGCTTTTTTTTCCTCTATCCACCATAGATCAGATTCTCCCCTTTTAAATTGTAATATTCTTATGGGTATATTATATACCAAAGTTGAATAAAATAAAGTGAGATTTTATTTTTCATTTTTAGTTTATATTAATTTATTTTATCAGATGTGAAATGCACAGTGCCCATGTCAGTGCACTGAAAGATAGTATTCAGAAGTGAACTATATTGGAGTTTTTGTTTGATTTTACAGAATCACCTTCGATAATGTCGTTTTTTTTTTCGCGTTTAATACTAATGTTTTCTGTTGTAATTTCCACACATAGAAATTATGTTTTGACACTTATTGGCAAGAATATTAAATAGTTGAAAGTTGATTGTTAATTCGATAAAATTAGCAATTTTCACTAATTGGTTGAAATAGCTAATTATGCATTTGTATTCACTAAATAAGTAGCTATTTGATATGTAAAATTAATTAATACAGCAATTAGGTATTTCAAAAGCCTCTTATATTGAGATTTTTCAAAATAAACTTCTTAAATCTATAAAACTATTTCAAATCGAGATTTATCAAATAAAATAAAATTGAGTTTCTAACGGAATCTCTAATTCACCATCAAACCTCTAAGTTTTTGACACCAAAATGCTAATTATCAAATAAATTGTTGTTATGATTTAATTAAAAAATACAAATTAATTTGAGAGTTAATTAAGCCATGAGTTCATGTTCATGAAGATCCTTAATAAAGTGCACGTTGGGGCCGACCACTTGAATAAAGTGCACGTTGGGCACTTTTATGGGATGATTGGTATAATGGAATGGAATTTAGTATGACTTGAATGAGTTGAATAATTAAATGATTTTAGGAAAAGAACGAAACAAGTTTTGTCATTAATGCGTTTGGTATGCAGAATGAATAAGACCGGAATGAAATACATTATTATCCTATATTATCATTTATCACTATTTTATAGAAAAAAAGTTAATATTTATATTAATGTTATTTTCTTATTTATGACAATACTAATAGATTTTATATTTTAAAAATACACTATATTTTAAAAATACACTATATTTTAATAAACATTCTTTTGTATTGTTACACCATCTTATCGAGTAAATAAGTGAATTATGTATTTATATCATATTAACTAATACAAATATATCATTACATAAACGTCTAAAATGTGGTCAAATATATTTTTTATAATATAATTCAATATATAAATAAATATATAATATATCTAAATATATAAAATAAAATAAGATTTTTCTAAACTATTTATAAATGTATTTTTTGTGAGTTTTATTTTAATATAAGTATTTAATATATCTAATTAAAAAATAAATAATACAAAAAAAAAAAAAATATTTGAAATTTATTTTTTGAATGTTTTTTTAACATATAAAATGTCTTTTAATTTTTTTTCGACATTGTGTAGGGAAAACATGAAGAAGTATTCTACGCTATGGTGCCAATATGTTGACCACTGGAATGCTTTTTGAGCATCATTACCAAAATCAAGAAGAAGTTTTTGTCCTCATCATGCAAATGTAACGTGCGAATGAGTGAGGAGGTATTTTATTAATTTTTAATATAATTAAACTCAAAAAATAACTTGATATTTTTTTTTTTATCGGCTAATCCAATATATTTTTTAATTAGGTAAATTTTGAATAACCACATCAAAGGATGTGTCCCTACTCATCGGTGTTGATGTTCTCGAGATTCGAAATTTTCGTAAGAGGTACATATCATTTGGTAAGGAATTGTTCAATAATATATAGATTTTATTTTCATTATATTTAGTAATTAATAATGGCATAATATTTCCTTTATTAATTTGAATTTCAATTCAAAATCGCATTTTGAAAAGGACGAAAATAATAAAGCCCCGTGCATCGCACGGGTACTGTAGTAGTTTAATTTTAATAAACTTAAATGACAAAAAACACTAATCACCACGTTCGTGCACGTTCGTGCACTTTACTAGTACTACAGAATACAAACAAAAATTCCCATAAGTGGATTTAAATAAAATTAGTGGGCTTATAAAAAATGGTAACAATACTAATGTATGAATTGGACCAACAATAAAACTATGAATAGAAATTATTATAAACTCCATAAACTCCAATGCAGATATTATACTTATAACCTAGAGCCTGATCTTATATAATTATGGAACTGAACAAAAAAAAGAAGTCATGCAGTCCCCTCCATCAGCATCTGCTGATGCCTCTTGAAGGAAAGAAGCTTTTGCAGGCGCATCCGCCTGTGAATTTCAGTTACCGAATGTCGCGTAGATACACGGGCAGGTTGGTGATGTGCACATATATCTTTTGATGGATTTTGCTGTAATTTGGATGAAACTGGAAAACAATCTTATTGGCAACTTCTTCCATAACCTCGAGGACCGAAGGAGCATCTACAAGCCAGATTGCAATGATCGGGTGGGTATGGAGAAATTGCATGTAATCAATCTCCAGACTGCACTTGTTAACTGCAGGTAAAAATGAATTAAGTTAATTCACAACTGAAAAAGTGATAATGGGATCACTGGCTGGATGAAACCAAACTCAAACAACCTATTAAATTCACCAATATTAGGCTGTAAAAATAACATTTAAAATTTTCCAGGAGGAAGTTTGTTACCCGCCACCATTTCATTTATCTGCCTTAGATACTCAAAGTCTCCATGATCAAATTTTGGATTCACATAAGTAAGCAAGAACTCCTTGAACTTCTTGGCAATGGAACGCCTCACTTCATCTCTCGTAACCCACTCTCTGAGGGTTCCTTGAACTCTATACATCTCAAACTCACCTTCCTCATTCTCTTCATCCTATAGAGATAGCAGCACCTTTTATCAGGACATTCCTAATAATGCTTCTCGCATTCAGAATAGATTAAGCCATATATATAGAACTGAAATACATACATCGTCCATATCAGTCATGGATACATCATCTCTGGGTATCCCATCAGTATCATCCATGCTGGATGGAGTATCTGGCTGCCTGTCACCTCTAGTTCTTATTGGCAGCCTGTCTTCATCATCATTGGTGTCTGAAATTAAGTATCTTGGTCATTTAACTTGGCAGTTCACAATTCACATAATAATAGCTTAAGACAAAATAAAAGACTATCAAAATGGTTTGCGCAGTTACAGCATCATTTTTATTAGTTAGAGTCAGCAATTTTCCAATTTGGTTGTGACGAATATATCTCATGGGTAGCGAACATAGCCCAACACTACATCTACATGTAGTTTACCCCATACCTAATTTTAAACCTCATTCTTATATCACCATGTGTTGCAGTTTTTTCTTGTGATCAGAACAACACTAGGGTCAATGGTCATACACTGAATAAATTGACACAATTAAATGTCTCTCGAGCCTTGGTATGCCCCACCCTAGAACTTTTCTTCAAATTTGTGAACAGAAGGGAGAAAATGAACAATATACTTGTATTATCTATACCAAAGTACAGATCCAGAAGGGTGAGAGAGACGGTGAAAAATGAAAAAGGGGACCACCTTGGTCGTGGGGATACTTGCGGGGAGAAGGAGAAGGTTGTCTTGCATCGAGTTCGATCTCAGCAGCTCTGCGGTCAGCCATAATCTGGTACATATCCCTAACATCCTCCATGGAATCATCCAGACCCAAGGTTTCGTACTGGTCCTGCATTCCTATCTTCCGGAAATCACTGCAATCAACGTACCATGAATAGTGGGAAATAAATAGCAATCAATTAATTACAAAGCAGAAAATAAGATGAAACACCGACTTCATGAATTGGTCGTTTAAGAGGTCCTCTCCTTCGTCGTCGTCGATGTTGTCTTCTTCTTCATCTCTGATTATTTCAGCCTCGACAGACGCTTCGCCGTCGTCGTCCGTGTAATTTTGACTGGAATTCATCGGCAGCTGGTCTGAACTGAATGCAGCGGACGCAGGGTTCTCGTTCGCTGCCCCGGCGCCGGATCTGGGTGATTCATCGCCGTTTCTCGCCATTGTCACTCGCAAGGTCTCTCCTCACTGCGTGCTCTGTCGTGAGAGGGGGAAGTGCTTCAATTAGGGCACCGCCAGAGTCTCGTGAGTTTATTGCCAACTTTTCGTTTTCCCGCCCAAACGTCTCTTCCATGTATATAAGGTAATTGCTTAAATTAGAGAGATTATGGAGAAATGGAGCTTATAATCATTAATCATATGAAGGAAAGTATTGTGTTTCATAACGGTGAATTGATAAATTATTGTATTTACTTTTCAGGATATTATATATACTAGTATGAGTCCCGTGCAATGCACGGGTAAGAGATATTTATTAATTAAAAATTCTTATTAAATAATGTTTATAAATTAAAAATATGAAATCAATATGTAAAACAATTTATCTATATTAATTTATTGAAAATGTTATAAGAAGTTTAAATTGTGCAAAATTACATAAAAATGTATATTTAAAATAAGTATACAACCCGTGCGGTGCACATAACTGATAATAAATTACATTATATTCGTTTCAAAATAAGTATCATTTCAAAAAAAATTTCAAAAAATTGATTTGACTATATGTGATTCCATAAAATAGTTATTTTGGTAAAATGTTATCATACATTTAACAACCTATGTGAATAATAACTATAAATATAAAATTTATATTGTTTCATTACTTAAAATAATTTATTATTGTATAAACTATTCAAATAAAAAAATTAAGTAGTTAAGTAATTTATAAACTATAAATAATTGAGGATTTCCAAGTTCATATTTGAGATGCACTCACGATGAAAATTTGAGATGGCAACCCTAATCCCGACTACTGGGCTGGGCAATCCAGCTTAAGTATAGGGATGACCTGGCCATATAATAAAAATTCAAATACACGATGCCAACAGTGGAACCATCTTGTATCATCTATTCAAATTGCTATCAAACTCCATGCATAAGAGCATATAAAATTAGATGAAGCATACCAAATGAATGGGATTATAGATAATCACAAAGTTCCCCTGAGGTTTAATCCAACTGCACAAACTTATTTCGTCTTACAAGATCATAGATATGCCCTTACAAGTGGTAATAAACATCCCCTCAAGGTTTACATTTACCTAAGCTATATCCCCCCAATAGACATGTAACTTGTAAAAGAGAAACCAATATCCAGAAGCTACACGTAATTCTAAAAGACAACCAGGTTTCTAGTTTTTCAGCCAAACCCCAGTGTCTTCCCCATGAAAGTTCTCTATGTCAACAAAAAGCCAAATCACTATGTTCTAAATTTGAGCAAAACACGGGCATGAAAATGTCAAACAACACAAACAATAACAAATAACAACCCATCAAAACCACAATTCACCCTCAACAGAATTAAGATACAAAAAAATGACGGACAAGTTCAAATGGCGCATTGGCACCATACCTCTCTCTCTTCTCCTGAAGATTCCTTATCTGCTCCTTGTAATGATTCTCGATGTACTGCTTTGCGGCAGCAACCCTCTGCTTCGTGAGGTTCGAACTCGGCCGATAGCTATTCCTCCAGTTCTTCATGTTCGCTGCCCATTGAGTCCTTCCTCCTCGTGGATGACTTAAGCCAATCTGGGGCTAGAATTTTTGGAACCAACTCTTTGTTGAATCCATCGGGTTCAGTTCTCCCTTAGTAGAGAAGTGCTTCCTGACCATGGCTATCATTATGATCTGGCAACATTCATCTCATTTCCCCACAAACACTGAACCTGGTGAAAAGCGGAAAACATAAATTTCACTTGTATCTGAGAAGATTAGTGAGGCTGAACACCGGAAACGTATAAGGAATGACGTTGAACAGGATGACATAAACAAATTTAAAAATCAAATCTCACATGCTGCTCAAGCAACATAAACACCTGGGCTCAATGACATGCAAATGCAATTCAAAACACACAGAGTTCATCAGGACAGAAAAAATGTGAATCAATTTTACCAACAAACGAAACAAAAATGCATTTCCCCATTCCAATTAATAGAAGAAATGCTATTCGAAACACACACAGCTCAAAATTTAATCAGCACAGAAAAACTGTGAATCAATTTTACCAACAAATGAAACAAAAAATGCATTTCTGTATTCAAATTAAAAAAGAAAATAATAATATATAATTAAAAAAGAACAACAAAATCGTAACTTCAATTAATTCAGCTATCAATACCTCAATTATGAATTGCGGAAAACTCAGTATGTCACTCTACTACAACTTTCAGGAGAAAAGGGAGACTAAAAGAAAATGCAATCCAATGAGAAATGTAGATCAATAGGCAGAAAAATCGGCTTACCGCCAAACTACTCAGAAAACACCTTGATCAGCATTTAAACTACTTTTTCTTCCACCATTTTTCTGCTTATATTGTATTCTAACATAAGTCTGGGAAAGAATTCTAGTATGATTCACATTGCCCCCATCCTTTTTGGTAGTCAGGTTGAATGTTTGGGTAGCATTAGTATAACCCTTTAATAAACTTATTAACCTGTGCAAGATTTTTATGTGCTAATATACTCTTTTCAAGTGTTCGTTTCCAATACTTAGGTCCAGAAATAGCCTTATATCATCACCCAAGGCCAATCTCACAAGGTTTGCTTAATAAAAAATGAAATAGCCAATTCAGAATTCTTTTCTTTTTCACTATTTTTCTTTCGTTTTGAGAGTGAGGCGAAGAATGAAACTAAAAGGAAAGTAGATCCACAGTAATGTGCAAATTTAAAACTTAAAATAACTGATACAAAATATAAACCCAGTAAAATCAATGGCCTTTTATACAATACCAAATTGCAATCGGTCTTCGCCATCGCTGTCTCCTTCCTTCCATTCTCCTCCTCCGTCCCCATCGACCTCCGAACGGAAAAATCTCATGATTTGGACCAGAAGTGAAGAAGAAATTCGGGTTTCCGCAGCCGACGGAGCCGAATTCCGCCGTCACGGAACCGAATATCCCGACGTCAATCTTCAAGGATCTGTAGCTAAACTTAAGAGCGGGCCCGACCCGAGCCTGACTTCGAAGTTGATGGAGAGCTTGTGGCGATCACCAACGGCGATCTCGGCGGAAGAGAGGTGGACGCCGATGATGGTTAGGGGAATTGCCTTGAGAATTGGGGGTTTTCAGGGTCCTCCCGGATAATGAGCAAAGATTTCATTACGTGAGTTTTCTTCTCGATAATAGCGGCGATTTTTAATGGAGATGTGTGTTTAATTAAGATGTGATAAGATTATGGCAAAAATATCATACCATATTTTTAAAAGATTCACACGTTTTTTTAGTTTACAATATCTTATCACTTTAGCTAACAGATATCTTATCCATAAACTGCATGAGCGGGAATTGTGAAAAAATTCAAAAAAAATTGCCGAAAATGAAAATAAAACAAAAAATAAAAGCGGGAAAATGACTTTAAAAGAATTTGAAGTCCCCAGCCTTGCTTCTTCCGCTCCGGGGGAATCCTGAGTCGTCCGAGGTGAGGCAAGCCAAACCTCTCGGTCAGCTTCTATTTAATCTTTTAGGCGAAGAAGTGAACCGAACGAGTCAAAGCAGGAAGTCGTGGATAGTAGATCGTAGACTCTTTACCTCATGGTTGTCTTTCGTTGTGCTAGCCCTCATCAGGGAACCATAGTGTAGACCTCGAGAGGCGGAAGGTTCATCAACTCTTTTTCCAAAAAAACTCTTCATCTAATTTCCTATTTGAGTTTAGCAGACTCGTTCACATTTAGCTACCATTTTTATTTTCGGATTGTTCAAATAATTTTTCTTCTCCGTATTATATAGTAATAGATATAGTAATCAGACTTTTTCTGTCTAATATTTTAATTGTTTTACTTAGTACTAGTACGAATCCCGTGCGATGCGCAGGTAAGAGATATTTAAAAATACTCATTAAACAATATTTATAAATTAAAAATATAAAGATTAGTACACAGTCCCTGCGGACCACGTAACTAATAATAAATTACATTATATTTATTTTTAAATAAGTGTCATTTTAAAGTTTTTAGAAATTTGATTTGACTACAATGTGATTCCATAAAATAAATATTTTGATAAAATTTTATGATATATTTAAAAATCTATGTCAATAATAAGTATAGTTATAATATTTATATTGTTTCATTAATTAAAATATATTTATTTTTTTGTATGAACTATCCAAATAAAAAAAATTAAGTAGTTAGAGTAATTTATTAAATTATAAATAATTGACTATTCTATTTACGTCCAAGTTAATATTGACCCGTAAGTTATGAATAGTTACTTATTTGACTTTTAGTCTTGGAACCCAAATTTGAACTACACAATAAATTACTCTAATTTTGAACCCAAATTTGAATTACGTCCAAGTTATATATATATATCATCTCGCAATTTTCTAGTTTGTTGACGGTTACCTTAGAATTAAATTACAAATTTTAAATTTTATGAAATAATTTATTTTCAAAGATTTTTTTGATTTTCAAGAAGAATACATATCACCTTGATTTTATAACAAATCAACCTAAAATTTGAATTTCATACCTTACCAAATAAAATGTTTTCATACCACTTATTTCGTTTTCAAAATTTTCAAGTACACTTTTATCAATACCAAATAAAATTCCTAGCATTTAACTTCGGAAATTACATACAAAAATAAAATTGATCACTTTATACCATAAATCGGACATGTAGTAATAACAACATATTTCTTACTAAAAATAAAGATAGCTATCAAATACCTAAAATAAAATTGCACACTTTATACCTAAATTGAATTTATTAATTTTGTCAAATTTATACCATAAATTAATTCTAGAGGCCGGATTTTGAAATTTAATAAAAAATTATCAAGTTTAGTAATTTTAAAATTTTCAGGCGGGATTTTAGACACACACTGTGTCCTCTTGACATATATAAATAATATATATAAAAATATATCTTTTATTTGAAAATATCTTTTATACATAAAAATATATTTTATTTTCCTAAAATAACACAAACAATTATTTTCAATTCAAACAATAGACACACGTTTTGTGATACACGGTTTTGTTAAAGGTTAGAGCATCTCCAATGTGACTTTTGACATTGCAAAAAATTATCCATATCATCAACTTTTGAAAGTTTATTACTAATTTATCTCCAATGCATCTTGTCATTAGCTCTTTCATGATGATGTGGATGACATTTAATGTTAACAATGTTGAACTCACTTTCTAATATCTAACACCATGTTAAACATGATGACTCATTAATTCACTTTATATTTGGTTTAATTTTTTATTATTCTTGTATTAATGAATTATTATAATTGGTCCACCTATACAAATAAATTCTTATCAAATTGGTGCATTGGAGATACTAGTTTGATTCAAATTTTTAGTCTTTTAACATTATTCTTATGTGGATTAACATTACAATCATCAATTGACATGTGTTAAAAATTATTGCCTTTCAACACCATAGCATTGGAGATGCTCTTAATACCAATTTGTGGTACTCGAATTTATTAAAGATTAATACCAAATGAATCTCCCAATTATTAAAGGTAATACCAACTTGTGATACACGATTTTATTAAAGGTTAATACCAAATAAATCTTTCAATATTTATCAAAAAGAAGATTCACTAAACTATCTAAAATTCACATGTTTAAATATTTACACAACACACAATCATTATTTGACAATACAATACCATCCCTAAATTGAATAATATACAGCACACAATCATTTTTCAGACACATTAACCATATATAGTTCATAAACACACGGGTTTGACAACACAATGCCATTCCTTAATTTCTTAACATAATACCATAAATTGAATAATATATTTCTAAAATTAGTAAAAAAAAAAATGGCGGGAAATAGTTACTATTTTAAAAATAATCAAACCTTTATATATATATATATATAGATTCTATTCAATTAATATATAGATAATAGATAATACAACTATATTTATATAATATAATAAATGAACAAAAACACTACGATAAATTGAATGTCAAAATTATTTTGTTAATATAATACAAAATAATTTAAATCAACAAAAACACTACAATATATAGAATGTCAAAATCAATGGCGCCAATTATTATCCAATTAGTTTTCATGTACTCATCCAATTTTTTTATCCTGCAATGCAAATTAAATATTAGAGAACAAACATCAATTTTACAACCATAATTAAATTCAAACCAAAATAGAATAACATGCACATTCAATAACGGAATATACTCACATTTAATAAGTTATGATGAATATGTTGGTGCAGTGAGAAAATAATGATACGTGGTGATTGAGATTCTGACTATAAGAGTGTTGTATATAGAGATGTTTTTTAATAATATTTAGAATTCTTTTATTAATTCATATTTGTTCTTGAATTATATTATGATATTGTATTTTTATTTTTACTTTTGTATTATTTCATCTTCTAAGAATTCACCCCGTGCAAATGCACGGTTGAGTACTAGTTAAAAGGACTTCAAAATTAGCACTAAATGAAAAAAAAAAACTCTATTCTTCAATTAGTATTATTTAATACACCAGAATCAACATTGAAACCATCAAAACTAATCTATATATATAAAATTACTGGTTCATTAGCATTTAATAAAACTTATTAAATTATACATATGTAGCAATATAATTTTTTTCCTCCAAAAATCGTTACTTTTTATTTATTTAACCTCTCATTTAATTATTAGATAATCAACACACTAATCACTTCAAAATAACAAAAATCATTTTAAACTTTTAATTTACTTACAGTTGACCATATAATGTGTTGACTATTTAAAGTGATTAGATATTATTATGGTTACTTTTAAATTAACTTCTTTTGAAAAATAAAAAACGTATTTGAAATTTCTAAATAAATAATAAATAATTTACAAAAAAATACATACCACAATATACATTGATTCCAATATAATAAACGCAATTTAAAAAAATAAATATTCCAGCTACTTTACTTGTAAATTTGGCCTGCAAAAAAGTTCAAGAAAAATCATTAATCATTATATACATACAAATAACTCACAATACTTTATTTATATATATGTGCAAATGCACAGGTCGAATACTAGTAGCATTGATTGTCGCCAATTGTGTAATTCTTTGAATTAAATATTGCATTTGCACCGTATTATTGTCATTAAATTATCAACACTCTCACCATATTACGTATTGTCATTAAATTTGAATTAATTTAATTGAGTACATATGATTTATATATATTGCTATAATATTATAATTTATAAGTATACAATAAACTATAAAATATCATAATATATACCTTTATATATAAATATATATTAAAACTATTGGATATCATAAATATACACCTTTAAATATATGAATCATTTTAAAATGAGACTCTCTTTTTTTTTCCCAGAACGATAGAGATACTATTATAAATCAAAATGCACAAAGTGCGAAGAAAAATACAAAGCTCCCAACGGGAGAATAAAATGAGAGGACAAGTCTGACGACCGCCTAGAAGCCCGAAACTAGCAACGCTAGAAACCAAAAAACAAGACGCACAATACAAAACACACAACAAACACTAAGAAAAACTACAAGGCTCCCAACAAGAAAAATGAGACTCTTCACTTGTACGATTTGTCCTTCACGTATCATGATAATATTTTTAATTTATATGTAATGAATTTATAGATAACATTTCATCGATACATAATTTTATTAATTTCTAATTATATTTAACTATTAATAGATTATTTATTGTTAATAAATACAATTAAAAATGTTAATTATATTTATGTGCAGTATGGTAATCAAATCGAAGCTCCTCAAAAGTTTATTAATTTGAATAAAAATATAGTAACAAAATATAAAGTTGTTAAGATTTAAAATATATTTATAGTTTTGATTAGTGAAGTATTTTATAATTTTCAAAATCTCAAATCTACTACATGGACAAAACTCTTAATCTACATGAGCTACTCTAAGCACCGTAAATTTTCAGAAATAATACATGTATTTGTAAGAT